AAACTCCCACTGCTACTACAGCCGTCATGGTCTAGGAGGGAATGCCGATGTGTGACTTGAGTTCGACAAGATGCATCAAACAAAACTAAGAGAGCCTGTGTAAAGTTTCCGCACCTGTTCGCGGAAAAAAATTCAAGTTTATTTTTCGCATATTTGCGCTTCTTTGCATAAAATGATTTTATAACAAATACATAGGTTGCATTAAGCACTGCTTTCACCGAGCGATTTGATCTGGGACTTAACTAGAATTGAGATAGAATTCCTAACCCTTCAATCTATTCTACGAGGACACACAGATACACCATAAAACTGGGTTGCAAAGCAAAAAACTTACACTTATATGAGCAGGCGTCTTTAATAAACGATGTGTACCGTAATCTTTGGTGTGAGGGAAAGAAACCATACTGTGGGCGTGTAAATTCTTCTTAGTAGTGCGAAGACCACGTAGACAATAATAATGAAGCACTTGGATACAGCTTGAGCAAGATAACGGCATGAGCTCAAATGAGTAGTCCCCATGCGACATAAGCGAAAAGATAACTGAGTCTCAAACTTCTTGTTCGCAAAAAAATCCCTCGAGCCAATGAAATTTGGCTACGTCAGGACCGTATGTCCTTCGACCTGTAGATCCTTTAACTCCAATTGGTTGTATATGCTAGTCTAAGTTAATTTTAAAATTTGCTTGAAAGTCTGAGTGAGAACTTTTAGCAGCAATCACCGTCTAGCGTCTGAAACAAAGAGAGCCACACTTACTGATTTCCGTAATTGTGCTGGTAGTAATAACAAGAATGGAGAAGTTCACGGAAGAAAACTGGAGAACGGACAATAATCTGAGAACATTTCATGAATGCGACCGAAATTTTACACTAGAAAACCAATATTCTCTAGCTCAGACTTGGGAAACTCACTGCTGAATTAATCAATCAATCAATCAATTAATTTCCTCTGTGATGGTTCTGCTAAAACTTATCTACCGTTGTGAAATCAATAGCTAGTAAGTACTAATAAATTCTGTACAAACGTGCGGATACTGGTGATTAGACGGCTTAAATAGGCCGTATGTGGGGAAAACGGCACAGGAGGTAAGGGGGCTCTCCGGAAACGGGTATCGGATGAATTTCACGCGAAGTAAATATACCACTGTACCCACTGTCTGTGACTGACGGCGCGACGCAGAAGCTCATGTCACGTGTCAAATCGCAATGCACGCTCTGGCTCGTCTAAGACAAAATCTCAACAAAGACTACCGGGTAAAATGTAGCGCGAAAGTAATACAAAAGTAGAGTCACGGGGAAGCCAAGTTGGCGTAGTGGATGGCGCGCTTGTCTACCATCCGAGGGGTTCTTGGTTTGAACCACGCTTTGGTTGCTATTTCATCGGTGCAGATACTCGAAAAAGGAAAGAGTTTTTACGAAATTACAAACGAAAACCGACAGGTGAAATTATCTTCACATTATTAAATAGAGGTTAAGCAGACCTCGATCGGGAGCGAAACCCATGAAATGTGCGACGTTATAATAAGCAGACGTAGTCATGCTACTCACGAGTAGTCAGACATGGGAAAAGTAAACGCTGAGTTCAGCTGATCCTCAGGAGTCAGCACCAAGATCTATTGAAATGAATCAATCACGTGTATCGTGTCGTTTGTAGTCAGTGGTGATTGTTGGGATGAACAGTGGAAACTCTTCGAAAGTCCACGGGCGGCTTTTCCCCTCTTGGTGTTCATCAGGTAGTCAGTCCGCGAGTTTTGAAAATACCCTAATTTGTACACTGATTTGTTTTCGACGGGTTGACTCAACTGAATCCAGTGAATCACTCTCTTCGAAAGTCCACGGGCGGCTTTTCCCCTCTTGGTGTTCATCAGGTAGTCAGTCCGCGAGTTTTGAAAATACCCTAATTTGTACACTGATTTGTTTTCGACGGGGAGACTCAACTGAATCCAGCTGAATCCCTCGTTTGTGGTGGTCCATTCCAACTGAAAACTGTCTAAATCTCTCCATTTTGAGTTGGGCGCACTCGAGGAATACGCCTACACGCCGAGCCTCAATAGGGGCGAAACCAGTGGAGGACTGTCGAAGAGTTCCCAGTAAACATATGAGTAGTGTATGACGTCTTGGCAACAGTTTTCTTCGAAATTTCGATACGTTTTGTTGCACCAGGTTTACTCTCTTATGACATACTGTAGCGCCACAACACTTCACCCATGAAACTATTCATTTTTTGTTCTATGCCCGCTTGCTTCTGGGTCAATGGTGACACAACAAACTTCTCATTTGTCATGTTCAGAAAGCTTGCCGGACTTTCAGCCGGCGGAAAGACTAGGGTCTCTCCAAAGTTGAATTAACGTTTTGAGGAAAAAGAACTCTGAACGACTTTGGACACAGTAGTTGAAGTTTGTGATTTCGTACCGAACGCGATCATGTGAGCATAACGCAGAAGGGCGTTTTGAAGATGTCTTACTTCAGTGTAGTCTCATATTATCATGCATATATCCCGATTTTTGGTTTAAAAATAGCCTAAAAAAGGAAGTTCATTTCGGTTTTTTTAGATAGTTAACACAGGCAACACCAGATAACGACTTGGATTGACAGGGTGAAATAAGAGAATTATTAGGTGGATGGATCTATGAAGTAGGAGTGTGATGCATTATATTTCAATCAGGGACACAAAAATGCCTGTCGAATTTGGGAAATATATAGACCGGAACAAATGCCTCTGCTATGTTTGCAGCAGCATACACTTTGTTCTAATCGCACTTTACCATGCCAAATCAATGGTATTCGTTGAGATTGCAGACCTGTGTAAAGCATACAGATCCACCAAATCAAGTTACATACTGCATCAAAATTTGGGTCAAAATGTAAGAGCAAAACACTGGTCACTCGATGTTGTCAGAATTGTTTGGCTGAATGATCCTTTCCAGTCACTCAAAAATGCCCAGAAATATACCATACTTCAATATAAAGAAACTATAATACTGTTTCAGCACATGGATTCGTGCGAACAACGAAAAAAATACCAGAAGGCGTGACGGTGCAAAGCAGCAAAACAACCGGTAAGTAAAGACTAGTAGCAATTAAACCACCAGTAACGATTACAATATTTGTAAACATTGTTCTGGACGAAAATAATGACAAAAAATGAAAGCGAGATAAACCGCGGGAAAACCAACATTCACGAATGAAATCCTGAGAAGAGGAGCCCGGAAACAGGTGTGGGTTCCACTTGCAGCAAGAATGAGCAGATTCAAAACACGAAAAAATAATAATTGGCAGATTAACGTTGCATCAAAAAAAGACGTTTTAAAAGGGCAGCACATAATTGGAAAAACAACTTCTAACAGCAGAGCAATTTTTGTTTTATATCGAAACGATTGACCAAAGCCAAGAAACAAGCAGCCGAAATGAAGAGATAGGGTTCGAAATAAGAATCTTCGTTTCACCGAAATCTCACACTGTAAAAAATCGGCTGCGATCCAAAGAGGTGAGAAATCGTCACACAAAGTCAAATTTCGGGTAGTAGTGCATCAAATCCAAGATAATGGTAGACAAATGTGCACCGCAAAGCTTTCCACATTCTAATAGAGTCGGACAGATTATATTCTTTAATATGGTGACAGGCTCCTAGAAACAAGTTAAATCTAGACGCAGGCCCTCCATACTGAGCCGCAGGTTACCGTCGGAGAATGTATTTCGCTCTCAGCATAGGGCTAGAACTGTACTTGCCTTGTCTGTTAGGAAACTGTAATCTCAGTCGCATTCCGTCGACTGATGGTGACTAACCATTACCTGAAAGACGACAGATCGGCTTATCCTACTTCTGGCTTTTTTTGGTGTTTTAGTACTGGATTGAATAGACCTGAGTCAAAGACGGAAATACGCCACGCGACAAATCCACTGGTGGTTTTTGCGTTGACAAAATTTCGACGGGCGGTAATGGTTTCCCAGTCAGTTTAATCTAGGTTGACATTCAGTGGATTGGTGCGCTGACCCATTTCAACTAGGTGAGGATGTGAGTGACTTGCAAAGGCTTTTACCTCAGACGCATTTCGGGTCGCTTGCACCACACCCGATTTTATCGCTTTTCCGGAGTTATAAAACAGGTCGGCTGAAGCATGTTTTGCTTTCTAACGATACAGCCGGAGCATGCCGTCCACGGATGTGAAGCTTGATGATGTCAGTCGCCGTCAGATGTGACCTAACCACGGCGCTGTTCCGATAGATAGTACCTGGTCCCGATGTTTGAATTAATGTAATATGACTCCACTTTTTGTAGTTCGGATTCGCACACTTGTTGCTGTGCTATATGATTAGGCAGATCGAATAACAAAAAATCTTTCCGCTGATTTTGATGATCGTTTTTACGTTAACAGGGTTCCGTCAGAGAGGCTTTTTTATACGTATATTTTGCGTTCAGTGAACATAGTTTTGATTCCTGAATACACTCGGTGGATGCAAGTTTTCGATCGTCAAATCAAATCTTAATACATATTCTGCATTATTTGCTGTTACTCAAAATCCCTCCGCATGACGTCTGTCTTAGGACGCAAAAAATGAAAACTTCTAGTCATGATAGCATCCTTGGGAAGTGGATCGTAATGGTGCGCTAGTGTCTATGAGCTGACTGGTTGCATATTTATGTGATAATGTGCGCGCTGCCAGCCGACACGTTTTATTGGGTACTTCTTTTAGCTCGCCCGTTAGCTGTTTTACTGGTCTGTTAAATCCTACGTAACCAATGAGATCGGTATCTATTGTTGCCATCGTCCCTGGATTGGGCTCTGTCCTTGACTCGTCCAGATTCCATATCGGAACCTTTCCTGATGTGCTTCCGGAAGGGTTTTTATCGGTTGCTTCGTCAGGTAGTTGGGTCCATTTAGGTAACACGGTTGGATCGGTGGAATTACTCATCGAGCGTCATGTCTTCAGTAACCTCCCTTCTTGTCTTCTTCAGAGTGCCTACGAATTGCTCAAAACTACGCTGAAATAGATTGTACTTGAAGCGGAAATAAAAAGCAACAGCCAGCAGACATTCCTGGACGATTCAACACCTGAATAGGGATGTCTGCCTCAAGAAGTACTCCATGGTTCTCGGTAATGTACTACATTTGTTAATGTTGCAGTAGTACTAGTGATGTGAATCGCGAAGCCATACAGGATTTACCGGATAACTAAGACGAACATTTTGTTGTGTTTGAAAAAACCCACCAATGTCGAAGGGGTGTCCTTTAGTGAACCAGAAAGTATCTTTCTCTCCCACGACACAAAAGAACAGATGGACGCAGAACTGGATCATTTAGAAAACAATTGGGTTGAAGAGAAAACAAACAGTTTTTCTTGGACTGTCCTGGTAGCAACACTAAAGACTAGGGGTTCGAATGAACTTCGCGCTGATTTGCCCCGCTTGTCTGAACAGATCTTTAATAACTCATCATCTTGTACCAGGGAATCTGATCCTCAAGCATATTAGACGAAGAAAATCCTTAAAACTAGAGTCTCCAGGAATCTACATTTATGTTGTATTGATGAACTCTTCTAAGGATCTTCTCGCTATCAAAATACATCGGAAAATATGTAGGCATTCTTCACTGAAATGAGGATGTCATGTTGAGTAATTTCCCGTTCTCCTCACTCACAAATGACGTTTTCACTAATAGCCTCTTAATGAAACGTCAGGAAGTGATTTTGAATCAAGGACGAAATTCTATTCATCTAAATGCATTTGCCATGAAATTGCAGATTAATTAGGTGTTTTTCAAAGCGATATAGTGCCCCGGACCTATCTCAGATATAACTTCCGCCAGTGAGAAACTTTCCGCACCGAGCAATCCACATATACACCGCAATTTTCGGACTTGGGTAAGGTGGGATACGGACAATTTTTGAGTAAATTTTCGCCTTCTTTATTGCATCCGGTTATTTGATTGGCGATACGTTAGGTGGAGATTCTTCTCTATTCTTATGTGGTGCTTACGCTATTAGGTGCTCCCTTTACTATGGTACAGAAATGTTATACTGTATACTTCATATCTGCCACATAAGATAGTGTCGCACTAGGAGAAATCGGCACAAAAGTATTCCAAGCAGTACAAAAGATCGGACTACGAGTGACACCAAAATTACACTTTGAATCAATACCTCGGTCTGATTTCATTCGTGTTACACGACTAAGGTGAATGGCTATTCGCGAGTCAGGAAGAGTGAAGTCTTCGTTATTGTCTAGAACAACCTTGATTCAAAACCACCAGAAATTTATGGTGTGCTTGACCCTGGTTTTCATGACTTAGAAACGTACAAAAACCTGGAACATCGATTAGAATCCCCATAGAGTGGTTTCAAGAGCATTCTGTGTCACACAAAGGTAGAAAATAGGGCTTCCTCAACAGGATATACAATGTAGATCGGCACAATGGAGTTCTTCGGTGGGGTGCGACAAATGGCGACAATCCCCACTTCCAAAGACGACCACACTTGACTACGCTTGACGCTTGAAAATACAGTAATTTGGGCTTTTAAGAATAGCCTCACCGTGATGGAGGAAAGATAACCGTCTCAAATAATCTGGTGTGTTCCTCAAGTTCGATCTACAAGTAATATCTTAGCAACACCATTTAGTGACGTGGAGCTTTGATTGCACAGTAGGATTTCTCGTTCGGATGCAGTATTTTGAGGAGTGTTAGGGAGATCGTCAACGTCCTTTATTTCAGTGCTTTTCAAACGCACCGGAACGTACATATCCTTGAAAATTTTGGGATCAAAACGGAAAGACTTGTTCAGCCCTCAGAGAAAGATCTTGACCGAATCCGAAATTTTACCAGTTCTTCGAAATTCAGGAACATCTCTGCAAATATCTGTTTTGTCTCTTATAGCACTTTAGCATACAACCTGCGATACAGCAGTTAAGAAGCAACAGAATGAAGGCCATAGAATTGAACATTGTGATTCAAAGTAACTGTCCTCGATTTCCGGGTTCAAAAACATTCCGGAAATTTTACACTAAAATAGAATCTACATATGCATATTGCTGAAGTGCACGCAGCATTGTTTTGCATGTGCAGAGGTGCTGAGACTATAGGAAATTACAACAATAAAACAATGTAACTGGAACTGCAGCGCAGCACAGAAGAAGCAAGATCGAAAAACCATTTCACATCGTACGAATCCTAAAAAAAGTACGTAGAGAAGTTTTGCGACTGACCAAAAATAATGAAGCACCTGGCTTACGAAAACAGAGGAGTAAACGGTTGTTAAAAAGTCACAAGACAGAGAAAAAGACGAACATCCGCAAAAAAAGGACGGAAGAACAACTACAGAGAAATAAAAGGAGAGAAACGATAAAACAATAAAAACGGTCAAAAGGCAACAAAAAACAAAATGAAAAATCAAAAGGGACAGAAATAATGTCACTAAAAAGCGAAAAAAATGAACCGGGCAAACACCAAAAACTACATAGTTCGAAAAATATTGAAAATAACTCAAAATATTTATTTGCACAATAATTTCCAGATCCACTTTGCGTGAAAACAACACGGAAGATTGAAGACCGAGGCGGAAGCAGAGAAGAGAATGGTAGGTTGTGAAAAGTATGAGGTAAGGAAAACAATAAAGGCCGAAAAACATAAAATTTATCATGTACTTGGGGTGTCAGGGATAAGTGCAAGAGGGTTAAGTGAAAAGGTTCCGAGAAACGATGGGATAATAAGTTTCCCGAGGTGTGGTGTATAGTAACCGAGGTGCCACCCAAATGCCTCCTCAGGTTCCAGTCCGTGAAGCTGGTCCTGCTGGTTCCATCACAATGTGAGATTGCAGCAAATACATGGCCGTATTGAACGAGCGGCCAGGGAATTGACCAGAATCGATTTCACCCAATGCTACTGGATTAAATGGCCAGCCCAGTGGGGAGGCAGGTGTGCACCGAAAGCGCGAGGTCTAAAAGTTCAAAGTCACGCACTAGGTGCGCTGCCATACCGCTATCCGAATCGGGTGAGAGCAATGGTATCCAGTAAACGATGTTTGCTGCATAAATTATCATGGCTGATTGGAACGGAGATGGGGCGCAAGCAGCGATGCAATGGAGAACTTGTTGTCCCATACACAGAGTTCGGGATCATTGAACTCAGATCAATTTCCCGAGAACACTCAACGAATGCAAGTTCGCGATTGAGAAAAATCGTTCAGCTCTGGACGCTAAGGCTTGCAGTGTCTAACTGCCATGCCACCAGAAGGAAATAAGAGGGCTGGGATACTGCTACGTGTCCAAAGCCTAGATAGGGGAAATTGAGGGGCCGAGGCCGAGGCCAAGATCGGGTTCCAACCGCGGACCTTCCGGTCAGTATATTCGTGCTTTATCCACTGAACTATCTCATGATGAGCAATTCTACACCGACTACATGTTCCGCATTATAAGCGGTTACTGATGGACTCGTGGACTCGTAGTAAAATTACATGGCATACTGCGTGAGTTGTGACAGCGTTAGAGCCGAATGGAAACCCGCATCGTCCACAAATTTGCAGATTTGTTACAGAACGTGTCCAGATAGGAGAGAGCATATTTCACGCTGATTGTAATGCTAGCATGGTTTTTGCCTGGTTTGGTTTGGGATGATCATGTGTATGACAACTGGATTTTCAGTGGGTAGCCACCCGATCGACGAGCTACTCAGCGGGAGTTGCATGACAACTGGGATTCATGCCAATTAGGTAATCCCTTCACACACCTGCGAATGAGAAGGACTTGTCAGGAGGGTCATAATAGAAGGTCGTGTATCAACTAAGCGGAAACTAGGCGGAATCAAGAATTGTTCCACTTTCCATTTAATAGTAGGAAATAAATGCGTCGCATCCTAGGTTGCATGTCGCCTGAGATTTAACACACACACTTCGAAATATACAGCGAAGTGTTGCAAAAATCTAGCGCGTTCCGTTTGTCCAATACATGCCCACAGACTGCGGAGAGGAAAAAGTTGGCGGAGATGGAGAAAGTGAAGGAGAACAAAGAGAACAGGAAGAGGCCGACGAAGAAGGACTTACTGAAGGAAACGAAAAAATGGAAGATGAAGATGAAGAATACGGTGAAGAAGATGAAGGACGCGAAGAACAGGAGGAAGAAGAAGAAGAAGAGGAAGAAATGACAGAAGAGGAAGAAGAAGAGGCTGCTGAAGAATTAGAAAATGAAGAAGAAGGATCCCAAGAAGAACACGAAGAAGATGAAGAAAGCTGGGAAGAGCACCACGAAGAACAAGAAGAGCAAGAAGAAGAAGAAGAGGAAGTAGAGGAAGGCGATGGAGGGATTGACAAAGACGAGGAAGAGAGCACAGGAGAAGAACAAGAAGGAGAAGCAGAAGAAGAAGAAGAAAACGAAGAAGTTGGCGAAGAAGAACCAGTTAACGAAGGAGACGTAAGAGAAGAAGAAGAAGAAGAAGAAGAAGAAAAAGACGAAAGAGAGCAAGGAGAAGAGGTTGGCGAAGAAGAAGAAGAACAAGAACACGAAGAAGAAGAGGGAGAAGAAGAAGAGGAAGAAGAAGCAGAAGAAAAAGAAGGCGAAGAAGAACAAGAAGAAGAGGTTGGGGAAGAAGCAGCGGTTACCGAGGGAGACGAGGGAGGAGAAGACGAAGAGGAAGAAGTATCAGAAGAAGGAGGAGGAGGAGGAGGAGAACAAGAAGAAGAGTTTGGCGAAGAAGAAGCGGTTACTGAAGGAGACGAAGGAGGAGAAGCGGAAGAAGAAGGCGAAGAAGAAGAACAAGAAGAAGAAGAAGAAGAAGAAG